AACTATATAGACATTTAAAAATCTACTAAAATTACTACAACTACTACAATACTACAACTTTAAATTGAAATGAAAACAGAAATATAAAAATAAAAATTGATTCATAATATTAATAACTATAATAGTATCACAATAATACTAAAAAAGTATCATTAAAAAAGTGATATAAGTAAAGCACATTGTTTTTTTAATCAGTGTTATTTTAGATATTTAGAGACAATTTTAGATCACCAAGACACTATTTTAGTTTTTGTTTATTTTCTGAATTAGATGTTATTTGTAGTAAAAATTTTTAGTAATTTTGTATAGTGTTTTTTTTTCCATTATTATTATTATTATTATTATTATTTTAAACATGTCTGTATAGTTTTTATACATTTTTATTTATTAGTTTTAGCTTATTTAGTTTTGTTAAACTAAATGAAAATGAAAAATGTTGCTCTGGCAACTATATATATATGTGTGTGTGTGTGTGTGTGTGTGTGTGTGTGTGTTTTATTTCATTTCATTTCATTTCATTTAACATTTAGTTCAAGTAATAAAAGTGTTTAAGGTTTTAGTTTAGTTTTAACTCTTATAACCCTGATTCTACACTGAAAAAAACAATGTTACATTTACTTAATTTTTCTTTTGCAAGTTTTTGTACACATATTTTTAAAGAAAAATGTAAATATGGAATGAAGTCAAATCTACTTAACTAAGTTATGTAAAATTAGCAAAGAGAATAAGTAAATGTAACGTGACCAGTTAAAGTTTGATGAGTAATTTCTACTTAATTATTTGAAGATTATACTCTGCAATATCTCTTCATGCACATTTTACTCAGTCACGGTTTTTAAACTTTACTCATACAATTTAGCACTGAAAAAAGCCATGCTGTTAGAGAATGTGGTTCACTAGAGAGTGTGGAACACAGAGACGTCAATGCTTGGTACACAATACGGTAACAATATGTGGATAGTGTTTGAGAATGAATGGGTCATTTTGAGTAGAAAATGAACTCTAGATGTCACAAAACAGCAGGTTTTTAAACCAACCAACAAAAGCAACCATAAAAGTGACGTGACGTGTGGCCAAGTATGGTGTCTCATACTCAGAATTTGTGCTCTGCATTTCACCCATCCAAGTGCACACACACTGCAACTAGAGCTGGGCGGTATGACTGTATATATCATTACAGTGAAATAAAGTGTCTATCGTTAGAGATTTTGCTATATCGTGTATTCCGCGGTATGCAGATATATCTGAGTAACACAGTACTGCTTAAACATTATAGACCTTTTGAGTGATAAGGAAACATGCATGAATGAGAAAATAAAGAGTGGGACGCACTTGGTAGAGTTATTAAGTGCAATAAGCAGTGAAAAAGAACTCAATGCGGTGCTGGTGCTGACTGACACACAGCTGAAGCGCGCGCACTGAAAGCCCCTCTCAGACAGCAAGCGATCGTGAAAACAGATCTCTTTCGTGTTTTATTGTGCTTGAATGGTCAAATACAAACACAGTGATGTCATAATGCCCGCCGTGTGGAGTATTCAAGTAAACACAGTCGGTTATATGTTAAATAAATGTAATGCAACAGTTGGGTGAAAACCGGATGTGTTTCAGTATATTGGATCAGTGCAGTCAGTCTTAAAGGGACAGCAGCCTTATTTACCTGCTGCTGTCTGTCATTATTAACGTTAATCATGTTTGATTGATACAGTGAAGACTATGCAGTGTTTTATTTATACACTTTATTCAATTTCTGTAATATTTCTTACCACATGTTAAATAAACCATAGCCTACTGTAGCTGAATACATTAAAAGTTTATTTCATATTTATTTGTTCTGTTGT